GAGAAGGAGAAGGAGAAGGAGAAGGAGAAGGAGAAGGAGAAGGAGAAGGAGAAGGAGAAGGAGAAGGAGAAGGAGAAGGAGAAGGAGAAGGAGAAGGAGAAGGAGAAGGAGAAGGAGAAGGAGAAGGAGAAGGAGAAGGAGAAGGAGAAGAAGGAGAAGGAGAAGGAGAATGTCTTTTACATTTGCTACCTGCATTGTTTCTAAGAAGTAAAATGTATCTGAATACACCTAGTGATACACAGCTATTCTTATTTGAAATATTCTTACTATTCATTTTCAAAAACCTGTAGGTAACTACACAAAGAAGAGAGGGAGAGGATCTGTCTTCCTGTTCAAAACCCCATGCCATGTTCTGTGTGATCACTGTCATCATGGCTCTGATGGAACAGTAATTATTGCAGTGAACAGGACACCTATCAAGTGTGAAATCTTAAAATCTCAGAGAGGCCTTCCCCAAAATTTTTTTTCATTAGTTGTCTGTACTTTGTACATGCAATACATACACTTATTACTTTATTCTCTCTCCAAAAGCAAATACGTACTTTTTTTCTTGGATTAAATACATATAATTTAAACATGTGACTAGTTTTAGTTTAAACTGTCTTAAGTACTGAGATGAGAGAGGATCTCTTAAGAGTTAACTTAATTCTTCCCAGTTTAACTACCATGTAAATTTTAAGCAATAAATGTTGTAGACTAAATTTAAGCCAGATGTAAAAGACAGAGAAGAAATACTTTTCTGCCACTACCAATACATCCTGAATACCCAGTAATGCTTTAAAGCACCTCATTTGTCTTATGAGAGTCCCGTTTTTGTTCTTACCCAAACATGAAGCCTGCAGTCCAGATAAAAGGGTTTGTGTGATCACATCCTTCCTGCCCCCTATGAGGGAAAGCAAAGCAGCACAAACCCCGGGTTTGCTGTGGGGGCTTCAGCACCCCACGGGTCTGCCATTGACTGAAAGCTCTGGCACCTTGACGCACACTTGGTGCACTGACAGCACAAGACTTTGATGCCCAGAGACATTTGTGCTTCCTCTCAGGACTTGGCTACCTGCTCCAGCACAGCCCAACATCCCTGCCTGTTCCCACTGCCTCTGCTCCAAAAACACAAGATATTTCAATACTGCAACAAAAAGACAACCCTAAAACTTTTGACCTAAACAGAATGTGCTAATTAAACACAATTCTAACTGTTAACATCTCCAGCTCTGTGTAAATGTAAATGTTACCTCTTGGGCTAAACAAACCAGCAGTGCAATGAAACGGTGTTTAATGAGTGTGTGGAGCACAAACGTGGCTGATTTCAGTAAAAGACTAGCCAGGCTTTAGGCCTCCAGGTTGATCCTGGCCAAGGGTTGTGCCAGGACAGCTGGGACCACCTCCCAGCAAGAGATGTGGGTCAGAAGCACAGCACAGCATAAGCCCGTACTAGGTCTGTATGGCCGCCCCAGCCCCTGTTACTGTGCTGTCAGGAAGTCTTTACAGAATGCAACAATGGTACGGGTTCATTCGGAAATAAACTCGCCGCAGAGATCAAAAGAGATACTAATGTTTCGCTGTGTCACAGCCAAAGGATCAATGGGAAACTGATGCTCTGGGGAAAGACAGCAGAGACACAGGAAAAGGTGCAACACTGTGTAACAAGAAGGAATACCAAATATACAAACTGTAACGACATGCGAGGAATGGAGTAAGACGAAAACCAGGCTACAGTTCAAGTGTGTAACAAGAACAAACTACTAAACCATTTCACATCCTGGCACAAGACTACGAAAGTATTAGTGAGGTGGTCTTCGACACCAAAAGACTTGGGTTTGAAGTGACATTTTAAAAAGACAGTTTTTACTCATTAAACTGGTGTGAGAAACCGTGCAGAAGCAGCAAGCAGACATATGTTGAATTTTCACATTTGCATACTTGTTGACATCCCATGAGTAATGTGAGGAAAAAATATTTCCAATCAATTTATGACAATGCTGCAGTAATTTCTGTTAAAGACATGACACAGGCCAGAGCTTCCCCCTCCCTGCCAAGACAATTAGAGCACACATTCATCTGTACCCTGATGACACTTCCACTCCATTAACAAACAAAAAAGGTTACTGTCTGACTCATGTTGCTAACCTGGTGCACTTTGCCTGAAGTTCCTGCTCTAATTGGACAAGGCATTCCTACATCCCACAAGCAGCTACTGAATTCCACAGAAAAGAACCATTTAAGTGGTTCAAGTCAAGCATTTATCAGACTATTGCCAGGAAATAAACAGTAATCCATCTAACTGTAGTGTGGAAATTACATTCCTACATTTTAATGTAGGGGAGATGCAATTAGCTTAATGAGAACTTACAACTCCAGCCTTGCAGCAGTATTTCCATTGACAAAAACATGGTGAACTCACCCCATTCCAAACCAAAATACTAACACACCACACAAGTGTTCCCACCACTTCCTCTGTCACCAAGAGCCATTATACTGCTAACATTCGACGCTGGATGTAAAAAGTAAAGCATCTATATTGGGAATGTTCCAGATCTGAGCATCACCAAGATACATTTGTAGCATTTTTTGATGGTTAAGATGAAATTTTTTGAAAACTCTTCCTGTATGAAGAGTTCAGCATATGGCACACCATCCATTTAACTTTTGGTGGGTTCAAAACAGTAATTAAAGAACTAGAAAAATCAATATCCATACATAATTGTAAGTCTGAGTGAAGCAGCTGAGCAAGAATGAAAAGCAGCCTCATTGACGAGATCTTAAATGTTCCTCTCCATGTTTCAGAAGACCTCATGTACTCCCAAATTACTACTCTGAACTATACAGAGAAGTAGCTTTTCTGTTGTTTTCAAGAATGTTTACAGACTTCAGTTCAAATCCATATTTCATTTCAAATCCTAGGAATCTCATTCATCTCACATCCAAATTACAAATCCCATTCTCTAAAACCAGGGCAAGTAGCACTGAATCTTATCACGTTTTAAGCAGGGTTTTTCTTAACAAATTTTCTTGAATCCATCAATCCAGCACTTCAAAACCTGCTCCAAAGCTCCTGGAGGTGAGCTGGTTTTACCAAGTTTCAACAAACACAGGTAAACAATCCTTCTAAGCAAGTTTATTTAATATGCCAAACCATTCTTTCTGGCCTATTTGATCATACTGACAGTCATTTTTCCCCCCTTCTCTCCTCCTGATTTTAGCATATTTATATGGTAATTTGTTCCCAAGTATTTATTTTTAATATATTTTTGATATATATATATGTGTGTGTGTGTGTGTATCTATATATAATCTTTTCCTACTCATCTCACCTGAGATTTGGGCAATTCAGTCTGCTGTCAACCACCCACCTGAGAGAGGACTGGACAGGCGACCAGATAAGCCATGGTTCTGGACCAAATTCAAGCACTACCTCAGAAGCCCATGAGACCTTTTCCCTGTGCTTAAGCAGTTCCATGATGGGCCTTGAGGCTACAGGGATTTCCCTGCACCCCCAGCACATTACATTTATCCAAGCACACAGGGCTTGCACCCAGTGCTGTGAGGAATGGAGGCCTTACATGAGGCTGGTGGTACCAAATAAGCCGATACCTCTCCTTGTTCACCCCAGTTTCACAGACAGGGAAAGCTCTCACCCAGCACAGTTCTGGGCAGGGAGACCCACCTCTTGTCTCTTTTCCACTTGACTCCTTGCAAGATGTCCCAAAAATTCACCTCCTGAAGAGTGGCCACCCCGCCTTGGTTACTGCTCTGACAGCACCATAAACAACAGCAGGGTTTTTCAGTTCACCCACATACCTGCAGCTCACTTTTTTGGCGTGTGTGCCCTAATTTCACACACTTTTGCTACTTAAACCCCTGTAGAAAAATGTAAAAAACCCCTGTAGAAATGGCACAGCCATTTCCAAGCACATGTTTAGCTGAGCAGTAGTGTGTAACTAAACACTGAACAGGTATTTGGCGTCACTAAAGGACAGGAAATGATTCACATGAACACTTCTCCGTGTTAGAACAGAAAAGAACCAACCTTTATTCTCTGACTCCAGTATTTATAGATTCTCAACAATGACCAGGGATTGGATAATTCAGTTACCACCTTCCCAAGCACACTGGTCATGAAAGATATCCATCAAAAGACATTTCTTAGAAGGAACATGATAAACAACTTACGTTTATAGAATTTTCATGGGAAAGTAACTAAAACTATGAAAACATTTATCAGAAGGCTTTAGTTTTCAGGGTGACGATTTGGTGCGCACTGATCTCTCGGGAAAGATCAGAGATGCATGCCGTGGTAGTGTCTGCAGT